AAAAAATGGAAGGTTTTAACTAGTACTGAATGATGAAAGGAACGGTATTCATTTATTTATGTCCAGTTATTTCCCATTCGTTTATTGGGAAATATTAGGCGATCATTAAAAACCCGGCAAAATGGCCCGTTTTCAAGACTGCTAAGATCTGCAGACATCGGCCTCCGTCTCCACACCAGAGCTGAGCAGGGTCTGGAAAAGGCATCTGGGCCCCGCAGGGTTCGGGCCAGAGAGCAGATGGGTGGCGCAGCCCAGGGGGCTTGGTGAGCTGTGGCTTTGTTCCTGCACTGCCCTCAGGGGTGAAGAGGGCCTCGGTTCTACTAAAACTGCTCTCAGGGTTCAGAGGGATAGCACAGTGAGCAGAACTACGGCCAGGATGGAAGAACAGACCCAAGACACCAGGAGACCCCTCAATTCACAGCAACGTCCCACTTAGTGACCCCATCTCCCCCCCGCCCTCTGGTTCAGCAGGAGATGCCCTCCCTGGCCAGCCCCTGCCTACCTGAGTGGGGCATTTTAGTGGCTCTCTCTCTTCCGCATTAAATAGCTCATCCTTCTCTCCTGCTGGCTCCATCTAGAAAAGAAGGCAGTGGAGACGTTGTTGCTAGGTAGCAGCATTCCAGGGTACCGGTGAGCAAGACTCATGACACCATTGGCTATCTGTTTGATTCCCAGAGCAGCAGCAGCAGCATTACCTGGGAACTAATTAGAAGTGCAGGTGTCCAGGCCTTACCCTGGGGCTATTGATATCCCAAAACTCTGGAGGTGGGGCTCTAAAACTCGTCTAATGCACCTTCCAGGTGATTGTGATGCGAGTTCAAGTTGGATAACCACCACATGGGAACAGTCATTGATTTTTTAGACTGCTAAGGGACTTCCTGGACAGGAAGGGAAACTGGGTTTGTGAGGTCAGAGTGGGACCCACTCGCCAGGGCAGAGCTGGGACTAGCTACCTACATTATGAAGACTATTAAAAAGATTATGGGGGAAAAGATGATGGCGTGCCAGCAGGGGAAACTAGTGGGTGTTAGGTTTACATAAAAGTATTGAAGGGGAGGTAGGAAAATAAAGGGGCCAAGGCATCAGCTGTGAGAGGCAAGCTTGTAAAAGTCCTTGTGTTGTTTGAAAAATGTTCCTTATAAATCCATAGGGTCAATGGCTTTCAGAAGCCAGTCTCTCTTTTTTGTGGGACTCTTGTGTGGGGTTGCTGGTCCGGTCGGGCTCCGTCACCAGGTCTCCCACACTCTGAGAGAATTTCCCATTCAGCAGCCGTATCTTATCCCAGGATCTGTGCCCCAGCAACAGGAAGCCAGGGAAAGAACTTTACCCTTCTGGAGATTAGAGGCTAACGCCAGCGGAGGGAGTCAGATAGGGGAGTGTAATTAGCTTAATCTTTTGGAAGAGAAATGGTCACTCATTCACACTCAAGGCTCGGAGGCGCTGGGCTCCGGCTTTCTTTCAGTTTTGCTCTGATGATCCAGGATCCTAGACACTGAGGGGTGAGGGGTGGGTGGGGGTGGGAAAGCCCCTGCCCGGATGTGCCAAGGGAGTGTTTCATGGGCCGGGCCTGCAGGCCAGGTGTGGAGCTGGCTCACCTTCTTTGCTTCCTGACACGTTCAATCAATCGTACCATCCGGAAAGAAACACAGGCAGAGCCTCTTCTGAATAATTCTGGCAGATGTTGCGGGATTTCGTTTCCAAGGAACTTAATGAAACAAAAGCTCATGGCTTCCCGGGGTAAACCCATTTCCCAGAGGTGTCTTCCCCTAGATGACTCTTCAGGGGCAGGCACGTTGTCTTTCATGCGGGAGACCCAGATTTGACACCAGCCGACGCGTGCCCCTCGGGTCAGGGGAAGCTTGCGTATGGCGGAGATGCTGAACCGGTTTCGGCAGAGCTTCCAGATTAAGATGGACTAAGAGGAAAGGCGTTTCCATCTAGTTCCCCAAACCAACCAGTGGAAATCCTACAGAGGACAACGCGCTGGCCCACAGCGCATCACAGGACGGCCCTGTACTGGGCGGCGAGTCCGTTCCACTGCGCCCCTGGTGGCCCTGACTTGGACCTGGGCTCAACAACAGCCCACCCACCCATCCTTCCGGTTTCCACTCCGTCCCCTGTGTGTCTGCTGTTCCGACTCTCTGTCCTCGCCTCGGTGAGGACAGGAAACAGCCGCTTCAAGGAATCCCTCGCACGTCCCTCATCTTCCCCCGTGACCCTCTGCTGCACACAAATGCACCTGTGCTGCTTCCTCCTCTGGGGACACCTGGCTCTGGTCTCTGGGCTTGCACTCCCTCGTGGGTCTTTTTCCCGCTGGCATCCTCTCTGCCCCCCTTGAAGCCAGCTGAAGTGTGGAAGGAGAGGGATGGCCTGAAACTCTCCAGGGGACACTTCCCACGTGACCTGGCCAGGAGTAAGTCCAGAGCCACCGCCAAGGCTTACTGCCCCTGCCCTGTGCCTCTAGTGCCTTGCACAGCTTGGCCTGAGGTGGGGGCAGGGATGGCAGAAAAGGAACTGGGAAGTGAATTCCCCAAAGCTGAGCTCCTTCCAGAATTGCTGCCCAAGGGGGGTGCTCTATTACACCGCAATCATGTCTCGGATGCCCTACAATGGCAGGGACGCCGTGGCCATGAAAGAGAAGAACTGTGTGGCGGTCTGTCGCGGCATGCAGGCCCAGAGGGTGCCCACACCCTTCCAGATCTTTCCCATGGGAGGCCGTCTGTATTTCGGCCTGGATGTCCAGACCATTGCCTAGCCCTCAAGTTCCAGCTGAGCCTGCAGGAGCTTCAGGAAGGTTGGCAGATCCAAACCCCCACACTCATGAGCACGGCGTGGCCAACCGGCTGTATGAGAAGCAGTTTGGCCCTGACGATGCCAAGCCTATCATTGCTGGGCTGGACCTGAAGACCTTCAAGCATTCATTTGGTCTCTGGACCTCTTCAACTGCCCCCGGTCACTGATGACTTTGTGGCCAGTGGCACCTGCACTGAGCAAATGTACGGGAGGTGGGAGTCTGAAACACATATCTGAAACCATTGGCCAAGCCACGCCAGTGCTCTGGTCCAGGATGGGAGTCACTGTCTACATCACTGAGAAGGATAAACCACCCTCTGGACACTGAAGGCCTGAAGGGACTAACCTACTCGCCCCCTGCCCATCGACTCATTTCTCTCTTGCCTCTATAAGCCCAGTTTCTTTCTGTCTTTTGTTAATTAAATGAGGTTTTCTTTCCAAAAACAGCAACAACAACAAATGGTGCCCAAGAATTACCTACCCCCAAGTAAGCAAGATGACAGCCTCAAGGGCCCAGGGAGTGAATTGCATCCCAGACAGGGCCCTCTGCCTCCACTTTGTGCTGTCTGCCTTGCTTAGCATCCAGGTTGGACAGCTTCTAGAGTGTCCCAGAAACACTGGTGCTGCTCACCGACACTGCAGGTGTGTGTGTGGGGGGGGGTGCCTGGCTTCACTGGCCTCCACGCTCATGCACATTTAGGGGCTCAGCGAGAACGGACACCCAAGAGGCCTGTGCCCAGCCGCACCTTGCTCTGTGAACCAACTTGCAGCACCACAGAGCACCCTCCTGTGTCCCGGCTGCTGGCTGGGAGAGACGCAGGTGGAGGGCGGACCCCTGTGACCACAGCGAGTCTGCCGCCCCTCTCTGCCTGCTCCGCAGGGCAGCACCGATAGGAGGCTCGGTGTATCTTTGCAGGAGGAGCAGAAAGAGGTATTTTACTGGTTTCCAGCAAGTCTGTCCCAACAAGCAGTGGCCCTCGGTGTGTCCAAGTGCGGCTGTGCTTGGTGCTACGCTCAGTGGCTACATTTTTGTAAACGGATTCCTTGGCCTTTCTCCCAAGGTCCCTCTATGAGGACTTGAACCTCCCACCTCTCTGTTCGTGGACCACCTGCTTTTAATCCGTGTGACTGCGGTGCAACCTGGCACATCAGCGCATCCAGGAGGCGAGGCAGTGATTCTCCTCGGTGCCTGCTGTCTCCGAGGGGACCCACATACATGAAGAGACTGAACCTCGGCCCTTCCTTTCACAGGGCTTGACGCTGGCTGAGGAACACTGGACACTTCCAAGAGGCAGAGGACCCGAAGCCCACACAGTTCAAGTGACTTGCCACAAAAGTCAACCCTCACGCGGGGCGGAGGTCGGATGTCAGGATTTCCGACTCCTTGACCAGTGCCCTCTGCACTGGCCTGTTAAAGCCTACACTTCTTGTAGATCTAGCTCGCCGTGGCTGCAGGAGCTAGAGGCCTGTTCTACAAGCCGAGCTTGCTGTGCGATGAGATGGCTCTGTATGCCGTGAGGGGAGGCATGGGAGCAGACATAGGAACAGCAAGCCCGCACCTCCCTCCTTCCCTCCCTCCTCCCTGTTGGCCTGGGCTGCAGGGGGCTCAAGGGGGCTCTTACTGGGGAACAGTGGCCCTTTCAGCTGGCTGGTAGGCCTGGCAAGATAAAAGGGTAAAATCCCAAATTTGACAGACTCCCCCTCCCCTGAACTAGAAACACATACTGCGCCCCAACCCTTTGGCTGTTAGCATGAGGCCTGGATTCCTCTGTGCATCTGCTCATCTTCCTCTCCACAAAATGACCGAACTCTGTGGGCTGTGTGCCCGTAGGACAGCACCCTAGACGCTTGGTAGATAGAGTTCATCACCACTGCTATCTCCACCGCCGGTGACAATAAAAGGAGAATGAGAGGAGGGAGCCCAGCCCCTGGGAGCTGCTCTCAGCACCACATCCCTGCCTGGTGGTCACGGTGCTTCCTTCGTTGTCTGGGCCTCACTGTCGTCCCGTATCAGGCCAACTCCTTCCCGCCCCTTGCTCATGCCTCTGCTACATTCTTCTCCTCGTGCCCCTTAGTGCTCTCCACAGCCCGACCCATCCACTCCTGCCCCCCCACTGTCCTGACCACAGTGTCTGTGTCCTTGTGGTGTGGCACGGCACAGCGTCACACAGCTGCCCGACTGCCTGTGGGCTCTTGTCCCTCTGGGATGCTGATGCTGCCCGGCTCCTCCCTAAGCTCATGGAGGGCAGGTGTCCACGTGTGGTTGTCTCTTGCGTCTTCCGTGGCTCCCAGCATTGGGGGAAGAAGCAGGGCACCTGCACTTTCAATGGTTGGGAGGAAGGAGGTTTGTCTGAATGGCAATCTGGCCTTTTTCTCCCCCGGCGACGTGTTGGGCAGATCTTACTGGGGAGGCCTGGTTCCCTTGCTTGGCCACGCACGAGCGATGAGCAGGACAGTGAGCGGTACTCCAGTGAGGGTCCAGGCCACTGGCAAGGGTTCATGTTCAGAGAAATCCAACGTCCGCACTCGGGACAGCAGGCTTCCTTGGATGCAGCAGGCTGGGAGACTCCCTGCCCCTGCCCTCCCCGCTGTCTGTCTTACACTAGACAGAAAGCAACTAACACACAGTGCTCACGATCCCCGGCAGTGCGCATCGTGGAGGTGAGGGAGAGAAAGCAAGGGGGTGTCACTGAGCTTCTAACAATAGAGGAGCTTAGAGGGGAGCGGAGTTTGTGGGGAAAATCAGGCGGCTGGCCAGTGTCCTGGAAAAACTCAAGTAATAACAGATAGCCCTGGGCAATGCATTCGGGTTTCTGACTCATTCCAGATGGTCGTGGGGGACCTTTGGACTCCAGGGGGAGAAGTGGGGAAGTCTGCGGGATTGCGTACCTTCTGCTTTAAAGGACCAACTTGCACGGAGCACTTACTGTGGGCCAGGAGCAGGCTGCACACGCTGCGTCCTGCGCCAGGGGTTAAGCCCTGGGTTTTTGTAGGAAAGGCGCTGAAGCCCTGGACTCACAGTTTACGGAGCTAAGATTGAGCCCCAGGTCTTCAAGGCTCCAAAGTCCAGCTCATCCCAGGCCCCACCCTGGACCTTTAAAACCGCTGATCCCACATTCATGCAGAAGGAGGGAACGTTGGGCAGGGAGTTGGCATGTGAGCCCAGTCCCTAGGTCCCAGTGCAAGGGAAGTCTCACCCGCTGACGCTAAGGAAAGTGCCTTGCCCCTGGGTAGAGCAAGACAGAGACCCCATCCAGAGCACGCCCCCACGTGGCTTTAGCTCAGCCTCTAGGACAAGAAGGTCAAACTCCCAGCAGTCAGAGCTGACTGTCCTCAAGGTGTGGGAGAGTTCCCTCGTGGCCCAGACACAGTGTCCTGGGAACCTGCATCCTGCCTGACTTCCTGCTTGTTCCACGCAGAGAAGCGAAAGTAGAGATAGACCAGAGACAGAAGTGAAAGGCGTTCTCTTGCAAACACGCGAGGGACTAAAACTCAGAGACGCTCTGAGAGTTAGGTCTTCTCTCCCATAACAAAAAGCTAAGGCTATTTGTCATCTTGTAGCCCAGGATCCTTTGCACCTACCATCATCCCATGGGAACAAAGCATGCTTGGATTGAAATTCCCAGCGTCCCCCATACCCCCAGATCCCCCCTGTAACTGTGCAAAATGAGTCAGTGTTGTTCTTTGACCTCCCCAGCTCTTAGGCCGTGGCCTGGCTACCCTCCGGAGGCTTTAGTAAAATTCCCCAGCGTTGCCTCTAGGTCTGACCAGAGTAATTCTTTCTCTTGGCAAAAGACAAGAACCTGATTCTGGCAATAAACCTGTGGGTGACCTTCAGGTCCTCTTCCAATGCAGTGGTGGAGGAGTGGAGGAGACCCCTCGCCCCTCCGCTGCGGTCCACATCCCTGGTCCACTCACCATGCTGTTCCAGAGATGCAGGGCAAGTGAGGTGGGATCCTGGAGCAGTGGCGCCTCCTGAAAGAGAGCGAAGTAAGAAAGGAGCCCCTCTGCCCACAGAGGGAGGCAGCACCTTAGTCTCTGACACCCACACCTTTCCCCAGTGTGGGGATGAGGGTTCCTGAAGCATCCATGGTCTCCCCTCAACCTCCCTACCTCCATCAATAATTACAGATATTGATAGGAGCTCCTCTAGGGGCAGGGCTGGAAGATAAGGGGCCTCCAGGAGCAAGCCCAGTGCCCGATGCAATTGGGCTTTTGTATAACGGAAGAGAGCAGAAGACGCCAACAACAGGAAAGGGGGTTGGGTACAGGCTGGAACGAGGAGGATGGAGGGCACAGGAACTAACATCTTTTCTTTTCTTAATCATCCGATGTGGGAGATGTATCTGACTCTAACAGGCAGCACTCGGCCTCCTGGAGGCTGCGAGCTTCCGTGTGTGGACTCACCCACAGAGCTGCATCAGCGTCAACTCGGCGGCAGTGGCTTGGTTGGTTTGAGTCCAGTGACCCTGGGGCCACTCTAACTTGCTCTCCCTTGCAGGGTGGGGGTAACAGAGAAGGCTGGGAAGGAGGAGGGCGGGAGGGGGGCAGCGGGCAATGTGTCTTGTGTCCTGAGTGATCACAATAGCTAAGAGGTACGAGTGCTTCCCCAGTGCCGGGGCTGACTCCCAGTTCTGTTACTTCATGAGCCCCTTATAAGCACCAGAGAGGTAGATTCACTGCCACTAAGTCAATCCCAACTCATAGGGACCCTACAGGGAGTGGGGGGTCTTGACAATGATTAACCATTTATAACCATCCTGATTCTACAGATGAGGAACAGAGGCATCGAGAGTTCAAACCACTTGCCCTGGGTCATTCAGCTGGCCCTTCCCAAATTCAGGACATGAAGTCATGGGTCTAAGGAGCTGTGCTCTTGAGCTCTGGGCTGCCCTGCCTCCAACAATAAGCCTAGTGGGGGAGCGGGGTTAGTCAACCCTGTAGGGAAGGATACAAGAAAGTACAAGACTTCTGCAGGATTTCTTTCTGATTCCGTGCTGCTGAGCGCAAGGGGGATTCTGCAGAGGTGAGTGGGGAAAGGGGGGAGGCAGGAAGGAGGTCTGGGGACCAGGCCCCTCCGCGGTCTGCACCTGTGTGCCTCACCTGTAGCCCTCACTCACCAAGGCAGTTAATGGGTCTGACTCCGAGAAGATGGGCTGAAAAACAACCGCAAAGGACCTCTGTTTATTGTACTTGCTGGAGGCCAGGAGCTTCTTCCAGGTTTCCTGAAGGAGGGACAGAGAAGCCAATAGAAGTCTGAACCAGGCCAGGTCTGCCCCACCCTCTGACCACTGAATTGGCCTGCATTCATTGTTCCAAAGTCAAAGCCATTCCAAAGCTCCCTCGTCTCACACTTCCTGGATCTTTGAGGAACTAAGTTGGGTTTTATTCTCCTCTGAAACCCCAGCAGACAAGAAACACCAGAGGTATAACTGAAATACAGCCTCTGGAAGCTCAAGAGATAGACGCCTATTCACCATCTGACTAGGAACCCCAGGGTGTCCTCAAAGGCTAAGTTCTGCAGAGGGATGTGCCAGTAAACATGCCCCCCAAAAGGTGGTCATTTCCAGAGGGCAAGGAGTATCTCCAAACTTGAAATGTAACTTTCTCCTTAAGAAAAAAACCCTCCTGTGGAGCATGACAGTGGGAACTGTGCTTGGACCTGTTTCCCACACCAGGTTCATGAGCCACCACAGTCTCCTGGGATCTCCCTGTTCAGTGGGAAGCCTGCCTTCAGGAGACCCCCACCCACCCCGCTCTCCCCTGGGGCTGAGGATGATCACTGCCTGAGGGAAACCCTCTCCCAGCTCCCACAGGTAGCATGATGACCACAAGCCTTTCAGAATGATGGTCACGTGCTTCGGGATATTTTTCACCCTGCCCGGACCCATGCTAGGACGACTGAAAGGTTCTCAGGGAGTGTGTGGAGACTAGCTCTCTCTCAACGGGCCTACACTAGGAAACTTAGCATGGGTTGGGCTGTTCCCTAATTCTTCCCCCCACCCCTGTTCTCCTCCTTGGTCACCCTGCCCCACTGTGAGCCAGCATCCCTGTCTCCATTCCAGGAGGCCGGGCTCACCTGGTAGGACCACTGCATCACAGCCCTGGACAACGAGGAAGTCTCCAGTGTGCACCCACAGGTCTCTTCCTGGGGGCTGCGGGTGGAACGAGAGAAATGAGAGTGCTGGTGACAGCCCAGGGTGCCATCGGTCCACCCACGGTGTGAAGCAGAGGGGTAGCACCTCGCAATGGTTTAGGGGGTGGGGAGGAAGAACTTGGACGTCTTCGAGGGGGGCACAAGAAGCAAGGAGGCAAATCCAGGGAGGAATAAGCTACAGAGTGGAAGGCCTACCGTGGGACGCTTGTTCTCTACCACCCCCTCCCCTGAGGGTGGGGTTGAATGTGGACACGGGCTCTTGTCTCACTTGCTCCTCAGAGCTGAAACTCACACCCTCTCCTTTCGTCCCCTCTCTGATCTGTACGAGTCCTTTGCTTCTGTTGTGGGAGGGCTGACAGTGTTGCCTCTGTTCTAGGTGTTGGACCTTCCCCTACGCTGGCTCCTACCGTGTGAGCTTTTCTGGGTGCAGAACCAGAGCGTGTAGGGTGTGGATCTAAAGAGCTTAAATTCTATGCGAGATTTCAGAAATCTATGGGGATCGCGCTCTGTGGTGATGAAATGTCTTTAGACTACATTGTGTTTTCCAACATCTAGAAGGAACAACTCTTGGTCTAGAGGTGACTTTGCAAACCTGTTCTTCAATCATTCGGGCAGGGGGAGGTCCTTTGGGCCCACATCGGCCAGACCAGTTTCATCTTTCAAACTCAGTTTCTAAAACCTACTCGGCAGGGAGGTCCCCCTCCTTCCGTCCTGGCTCTGCCACTGACCAGCTGTGCCATCTTCAACACATCGTCCTTAACCTCTCTCAGCCGCCACTTGTCTACACCCCCACCCAGGATCAGGGCACAAGAGTGCCTTCCCCAGTGCCTGTCACATGGTAGCCCCTCGATGAATGTTGCTTGAATTCCATTCCCTGTTTACCTGAGCGCAGGGCCCAGAATCTCAGAAACATCCAC